ATCATCATTTGCAAAGCACTCATGTATGTTTACTCGATTTGTTTCGCAACATCCATGCAAGAATAAGGAAACTAACTCAAGGACAGAGTGATTTTGCCAGGGCCACATAATTAAAAATGGCAGAACCAGAATTAAAATCCAAGTTTCAGAATTCCTAATTTTACTCTTTCAAATATCTTGAGTTGAAACATAGACGCATCTTTTCTAATTCTGAAGAAGTTTATGCTTTTATAAATGTCATTATAATTCCTAATAACCTTAGAATTAAGATCGCATGTTTCATTTGATTGGGGTTGTGTCTTTACAATGGAAACCACTCAACCAATTAACCAGTTCTGGTGTGTGTGTGTGTGTGTGTGTGTGTGTGTGTGTACTGTGTAACAGGAATGTGTTCAGTTGCAAATGACAGAAAAACCAATTAACAAGAATTTAAACAAGATGGGACTTTGTCTCACAAAACAAAAAATCCAGAGGTAGGCAGTGCAAGCTGGTGCATCAGTTCCATCATTTCAGAAATGTCCGGATTTCTTTATCTTTCCACCACACTGTCCTAAGTGTTTTGACATTTATCCCCATTCTTGCAGCCTTATAGGGACACGACTGGAGTACCACATCTGCACACGTCCTCATATCAGGCAGGACAAAGGTAGCACAAACCAGACTAACCATCTGAATGAGCACAGCCCATCACTTGAAGCATTTTTATAGCTGTTCTTGGAAACTGTAACTCTTCAGAGACAGTTACATTAGGCACATCAAGAAAATATATTTTTTCATTTACTCTTAGCTTGCCAGGTGCCTCCTCACCAGCGCATTCCAGACAGTGTGCTGTAAATGCAGATCCAAGGAACAATAAGGCAGGCCCTTTCTCTCTACTAGTAAGCCTAAGGGATGACAAACAACTAATGTGGAATGTAATAGGTGTATACGTATATGTGCAACATACTCTGGCAGTAGAAAGAAGAAAAAAAAACCACAATTGATTCTAATTAGGACATTAGGAAAATGCTTTCTTTGCAAAGAATTCAAATGAATGCTATACTAGGGATTTCAAAGTTTTGCTTTGAAAGACCATTGGAGTATTGTTTTAAATATATTTTATTGATTTCAGATAAGGAGGAGGAGGAAGAGAGAAATAGAAACATCAATGATGAGAGAGAATTATTAATTGGCTGCTTCCTGCACAGAGATTAAGCCCGAAACCCGGGCATATGCCCTGACAGGGAATCGAACCCCTGGTTCATAGGTCGATGCTCAGCCACTGAGCCACACTAGCAGCCAGGCACCACTGAAATATTTTTAAACAACGGACGTTTAAGAAGTCATGTATTTTGAAAAGGTTTTTCTGGTAGCCATTGGAACAGGTAAAAGACTGAAGGCAAGACCAGTTGGCAAGCTTTATAAATAATTTGGGTTAGAGATTTAAGGGCCTTGACTAGGTCAATGGCCATGGGAGTCCAGAGGAAAAGAATCAATTGAGGTCTGGTTCAAAATATAAGGTTTGATGATCATCTGTTCTTCAGTCTTGGCTCTATATATCATTATGCAATTTTTAAAAAATTCATCTTCTAAAGATAGATTTTCCACACCACGGGGGGTATTCTAAAGAACTGAGTTGCACAGATTCAAACAGTAGGTGAGTATGTTCTGTTTCTCTAAAGAAAAATCAAGAAGCCTTATGTATGTTGACAGATAGAGTAGTTAGATTAGATAGATAGATAGATAGATAGATAGATAGATAGATAGATAGATAGATTTTGTAAAGATATGGACCCAGGTCTTAGTGATTATCTGATGTTGAGTAGGACCAGGTCTTAGTGATTATCTGATGTTGAGTAGGATCCAGAGTTATTTTTTTCATCTTGCTAATCTGCATTTTCTATCTTTTTCTATAATGACAATGTATTGTTTATGTAAAAAAGAAAAGCTATTTTTTTTTAATAATTTCAAAAGCTATAGTCATTAAATCTGAGGTGTTTAACAATGTTTTTTTTTTTTTTAACAATATCAACATGGCTAAAATAAGTTTATTTCCGCAAGTGTGCTACTTTGGGACAAAGCTCAAGTTGAAATGTGAAAAAGATGATTTCTTTTAACAACAAACAAACCAAAAACTCGCTATTTCAGAGCTATTCCTTATTAAAGTATTGGTTATAAAGCACTCCTAAATGGCTTGTCAGAACTAACTTCACTCCTGTTCTCTAGATTAGTATCACTTGTAATTTGGTCTCCTTTTCTTCCGTGGAAGTAACCACTTCTCTAACCTTCCCAGCCCTCCCTCCCCCAAACTCCCATTCTCTACAGGCATAATTAATGAGCACAGGCTTTCCATCCAGATTTAGGAATATGAAATATTTCTCCTGACTCATTCCCAGTTTATGCTTGAATGCCACCACTATTGCACTTCTCGCCGACTCTTGCAAAGCTGAAAAGTACACTTTTGTACAGAACTCTCTGTATGTCCTGCTCTCTCTCCCATCTGGGCTGCCAGAAGCATGTTGGTGGTGGTTGGGAATGTGTTTCTCAAGCCCACTGGCTCCCCTGGAACCCTCACTGCAGCTTTCCAGGGCCCTGTCCTCTCCCCTTCCCCCCGCTCAACCCCCACTTCAGAATGCAAGCCCACCAAGGAAGGATGGGGTGGTGCACTGAGAGCAAGCTATTTAATAAAAAGCAGAAGAAAACATCAACAAATTAAAATTTCTGACTTGCCTTATTCTGCCAATATTTAAGCATTTTTTCTATTGAATGTGACTGAGTGTACAGACATACAACACTTCTATTTAGTCTCACACATGAAAAGAGAAAGCATAAGGCATGCAATTCTCATCCATACATTTTTAATTACAAATTTCTAAATCCAGTTGAAAACAATAGAAAAGGAACATTTTCCCCCTAGCATTCTATCAACCTTGCTTGGTAGCACAAAATATACTGAATTGTAGTTAAAATAAAAGCTTCCATTTGTAAAATAGCATTTAAGTTATTGCTGTACCAAAAGGTCATACTGACTTGCTAAAAGTATGAAATAAGTGTAGGTTTCTTTAGCAGGTCATACTGACTTGCTAAAAGTATGAAATAAGTGTTGGTGTCTTTGTATAGAGTATTTCAGAGGCTTAATAAGAAAAGAAAATCCTGGAAAATAATTTTTAAAAAATATTTTAAGCCCTAACTGGTTTGGCTCAGGGGATAGAGTGTTGGCCTGTGGACTCAAGGGTCCCAGGTTCGATGCTGGTCAAGGGCATGTACCTTGGTTGCAGGCACATACCCAGTTGGGAGTGTGCAGGAGGCAGCTGGTCGATGTTTCTCTCTCATTGATGTTTCTAACTCTCTATCTCTCTCCCTTCCTCTCTGTAAAAAATCAATGAAATATATTTTTTAAATGTTTTAAGAAGAATGCTTCAAAGTAATGTATAATATTTATACATAATTTCCCTTCAAGCCTAATTAGCAATGAAATACTTTTTACTGACTATATAGCATGTACTCCATACCTTTTGCTAATATTTTAAAAAGATTACTGCAACTATATTAAAACTAGAAAGTCTTTTTCTAAATGAAAGTTATAATTTAATATTTATAAGGCAGTATTGAATACTACCGGTAATTATTATATTCATTACATTTTTGCCTCAGATCTGCTTGTTACAAACTTTGGGTTTGAAAAACATGCAACTTCATCTCATGATGCACTGTAACTTAGTTATGCTAATAAATAAAATATGTAAAAAAATAGATAAACACCATCCCATCCTTCGGTTTCAGAGGTATTTTTGGTTCTTACATTTGCATTTGGGTATCCTTGATCTGAAAATTCAGTCATCCTCGAAACAAATAAGAAAGCCACAATCTAAAACCCTGAAGACCTGAATGCCCAGGAATTCCCTATTTTCAATAGGGGATACAGTATTTTCTTACTCTCCTTTCCTCTGGTCAGCAGGTGTCTCTGCCCCAGGTTCACGCCCCCCTCCCCCCCTCAAACTCCCATTCCCAGAAAAGGAAAAGGAGGGGGCGATAGGAAAGGAAAGTAATTGTCTTGGTGGCTTGGTGGTGGGGATAACGGGTGTTTTAATTTCACGACTGAAAGCTTTCCTCTCCAGTTTTAAAGTTCTTACAAATGATCTGACATTTTATGGATTACGCGGCAGAGTTTGGGTCCGTCCATCTGTAACTTATAAAAGGAAAGGAACACGGAAGGGATAGAAGGATTGGAGGCAGTAAAAGGATGCAGGGAGAGAGCAAGATGCAGGCGTGGGAGCGGGAAGGGAGAGGCGGACTTGGCAGTGAAAGGGGTTAGGAAAGAACAGGAATGGAAAGTGTGGCCTGGCCCTGCGCTGGCGAAGGTGGAGCCTTTGACGTCTCACTCCCCCCTTCCCCAGGCTTTTTCTTCGTAGATGGGGGTCCTCAGGACATCTAGAAAGGATCGGCCACATGGAGAAGAAAGGCTGTCTCCTGCGGATGCGCAGGCAGGGGACGAGGAGGGGGCGGCAGGGATGGCAGGGATCAGCAGCGGTCCGGGACAGCCTGGTGGGCGCAGGGGAGGGGAAGGCCCCAGCCCACATCCCGAGGGTCTGGGCGTCCCCAGCCGGGCGGTCCCCGCGCTACAGGCGCCCCTGGGCGCTCTCCATCCGTCGCCAACCGAGTGAGACCCTCCGGTAGGGACCCTCCACGCCGTCTCGCCAACACTCCGCAAACGTGGCATCCCGGCGTAGGCGGCGCGCCTCCACCCACGGGGCCTGGGGATGAGAGGGGGCGGGCGGGATGGCGCGGCTGGCGCCCCAGACTTCCGAGTCCGGAGCCCAGGCGGCGGGGGCGGCGCGGGGCTCCAGCGGCGGAGCGGCGGGCGCGCGGGGGCGGCGGGCGGGGCCGCGGGCGCGCGGGGCGGGGCGGCGGGGGCGGCGGGGAAGCGGGGCCAGAGCCCTCTCGCGGCCGCCGCGGCAGCAGCGCCAGCCCAGCCGCAGCCCGGACTCCGCCGCCACCTCGCTCCCGCCGCCCGAGCCGACATGAGCGAGGCGGATCGGGATCGGGTACCCTCGCCCGCCGCGCAGCCGGCGGTGGCGGCGGATGAGAGGAAAGGGAAGAAGGAGAAGGAGCCGGAGCGCGAGAAGCTGCCGCCCATCGTGTCGGCGGGCGCCAGCGCGACTGCGGTAGGTGCCTGGCGGCGGCCCCGGAACACCCCGATGACGGGCATGGGGAGGGAGGACCGGGGGCACCCGGGGACCGTGTCCCCTCGGGGATCCCCCGGGATCCCCGGGCAGATGCGCCCAGGTCCCCTTCCTGGGGCCGAGTGCGAGTTGTGCCTTGTGGACCCCCATCTCTTGGCCAGCCGCACCTTCCACCCTCGGTTAATGGGGTGCCCGGGTCCGCGGGCCGTTTTCCGTTATTTTCTGGGTGGAAAGGTGCATTTTCTCTAAGGACCAGCACCTTGGAGTGGGCGTTATCTGTTGGATGAGCTAAGGTGCCAGGCAGGCGGGAGTGGGCTTTCCACTGAGCTGTCTGCCTGCCTACCTCTGAGAAGCGGAGATTTGTTCCTTTTCTTCGCTTTTCTCTCCTTCCTCCTCCCGACTGAAGGGCTGTGCGGCGAGTTTCCACTTCAGTGAGACAGACCTCCGCGTGGCTGTCAGGGAGGTGGGAGGCAGATGCCTGGGTGATGGTTTTCTTTTTCCTGCGGTGCAGACGGGGGGGGGGGGGGGGGGGGGCAGTGCGGAGGCCTTTTTAACCTGTCTGTTAAAACTGAAGTTGCCTAAACTCAGCAGGGATGATTTCCCAGCTGGATTTTCTTACGGTTTATGTGATGAGCGCTCTCAGGCTGCAAATGCATTTTGCCGGATGATGTAATGGCACAGCCCCCCTCCCCTGTTTTCACCGGTGGCTATGACTCTGTTACTTGGGAGCACACAAACATATCTCTGATTTTTAAGATTTTTTTTATTTGAAATCATATTTATACACTTTGAAGAGTTTGCTTCGGTCCATTTAAAGATCATCACTTGTCATGCGGCTGCCAGGGACAAATAGAAAAAGTTTGGAGAGCAGGACACATTTTTTTAATTCCTCCTTGCAATTCGTTCCTTGAACCCTCCCTCTTTCGTGACTAAAAACTTAAAATAACTCATTCTTCTTTACAGTACTGGGAATGATGTTTTGATTTGTTAGGTTTTACAAAAATGTCTAAGGGCCATGCTAACTGGAAATTGTTAGAATGAGCTCTTTACGTGAAAGCAGTGCAGCCAAGTGGACAGTAATAAATGACACGTTTTATAATGTAGGTCCAGCTGATCGGTAAATTGGAGTTGGTTAGGAATCACTTGGGGAAATGCTTTGAAGGAATATGTCACCCATCTGCCGGCAAACCCAGTTCCTTCTGTTGGTACCCCGGCTTCCAGAGCGGATCTAGGGAGTTATTAACTTGCAAATAGCTTGTGTTTCCACAGGAGCTGTTCCAAATTGATTAAAACAATGCATGCATGTGCTTTCAGAAACAGGTATCTGAATTGATGTAGGTCCTCAAGTGATCACCCTCCCAAAAATATTCATTTATCTCAGTTTAACTGAAAACTTGCCGGTTTGGATTAAAAACTTGGAGAAATTGATTCAGTGTGGATTCAGGTTACAGACTGTTATCTGAAACCCTGGGGCTTTGGGATTCAGAGTTTTTCAGATTCTAGAAAGGGAATGCAGTACATATATAATATCCAATATTCATCATAATCAAGCATATTAAGATAAGAGCTCTTCAGTGAAATATAAGTGTGTTTATGCTAAATGAAGTGAAGTCAGAGTATAAGTAGCTTAATATCAGTTCAGATCAGGTTGGATTGTCAGAGCTCAACTAAGGTCTCTTTTGTCACCAAATGAGTTACAAAAACCTTTTATTTTCAAGAGCTTATAGGATTTTGAAAATGTTAACGGATTATGGATTTGTACTACTAGTGAAACAAAAGAAGAGTTCAAGTTTTTTTTTTTTAATTTTGACTTAAACTCTGAAAAAGATAGACTAAATTAGGAGATAATCAGGATAAGCAGAAAAACTAGAGATTCTGAAGGCAATTTCTGGTACTTTACAAGGTCTTTCAGGGATGGTAGCATTTTTTCCTTTTTTTTTTTTAAATGCATTTAGAATTTATGGGTCTTTGAATTGACAAGTTTGCCATTAGCACCGATGTTTCGAATCATCACAGGAGGGAAAATGATTTTTTCTCAGGTTTTGCAGCAAAAGTTACAGGAGCAAGGGGAAGATGAGGAATTTGATGAGGAGGAGGAAAAGGAAGAGGAGGAGGAGGAGGAGGAGATGTGTGTATGTGTATATGTATTTGTCAAAGAGAGATTTCTAGAGCTGGAATTCTGAGTTACAGCAGTGAAAAGCCTAAGTCAAGAAAATATGTGCTTGGTCCTCTAGGGCGAGGGAGCCAGGACAGCTGGGATGGTGACAGAGTTCACCAGCAGGTGAGGAAGCCTTGGTGTAAGGGCAAGGAAAGGCAACTAGTGTCTGGTTTGGTTTTCTACCTTCACATGGATTAAACAAGAGCTTCTTGGAGTTTGCTTAGGAACCTGATTGCGATTAATAACTTTTTTCTTTGAGTCATTTTATTTTTAAATATATACTTAAACTTTTAGAAATATATGTTTTTATTGATTTCAGAGAGGAAGGGAGAGGTAGAGAGGGTTAGAAATATCAATGATGAGAGAGAATCATTGATCAGCTGCCTCCTGCACGCCCTTCTGGGGATCAAGTCTGCAACCCAGGCAAGTGCCCTTGACCAGAATCAAACCCGGGACCCTTCTGACACTTTATCCACTGAGCCAAACCAACTAGGGCTAAAAATATATTTTAATTGATTTCAGAGAGACAGAAACATCAATGATGAGAGAGAATAACTGATCTGCTGCCTCCTGCACATCACCTACTAGGGAGCAAGCCCACAAACCTGACCAGGAATTGAACCATGACCTCGTAGTTTGTAGGTCAACACTCAACCACTGAGCCACACCAGCTGGGTTCTTTGAGACATTTTAGTGATTCTTCCTTTTTACTCCAGGTTAACAGCTCTGTTTATGTAGATTGTGTTTATGACTCAAATAATGTATAATAGTCCTGAAGTACTAGCTTTTTCCCAAAAATTATGTCATGTTTTAATGAAAGTTTGGAAATAATTTAGAGTGGTAGTGCCCTAAAATAATTAGAAGGTCAGGTTGTGATGAGCCTAATTAAGCCTGAAGAGTTAGGACTATATCCTGGAAATTTAAAAACAGGTGCAGCGGAGGGATTGATGGTATTGGCAAGAGGAGACCTAAAGTGATTGATCCTAAGATCACCAAAGTGTGAAGAAGTCCATTCTAGCCAGGAAGTACCTAACACAACAGTCTTAAAACTGATGGACCATAGAATTACCTTGGTAGGATGTTAAAGTCCTAATATACAGATCTCATACTAGAGTACCTTATTTCAACCTTTGATGCACAGTAAAATAAGTAGGGGAATTTTTTTTAATATATTCTATTGATTTTTCTTACAGAGAGAAAGGGAGAGGGATAGAGAGCTAGAAACGTCGATGAGAGAGAAACATCGATCAGCTGCCTCTTGCACACCCCCTACTGGGGATGTGCCCGCTACCAATGTACATGCCCTTGACCGGAATCAAACCTGGGATCTTACAGTCTGCAGACCGACACTCTACTGCAGAGCCAAACCGGTTTTGGCAATTAGGGGAATTTTAAAAGCCATATTTGTCCAGGCCCAAATGTAGGCCAATTATATCACTTTCTGGGCATGGGACTCAGGCATTTTAAATTTTTTTTCCAGGTGTTGCTAAGATGGAAAATTGACGCTTCATGTACTGAATTAGAAGCTCTATGAAATCTGTATTTTAAACAGATCTCCCCAAGTCTACATGGTTTGGGGAGCAGCATTTGGGCTGGTGAAAGGTATGGAAGCACAGCAGAAATCAGGTGTGGTGGGGGAATGGCAAGAATTAAATCAGTTTGAGTTAGAGAGGCCCCAGAGGCTCAAACTAGAGCCCTCACAGGACTGACAGTGTTGGGGTTGGCCTTGCAGCTGCGGGGAGATGATGCCAGTCCACTGAGTGGAGAATATGGAATTTGAAGTAGTGCGTGGGAATGAAGGTCTGATGGCGTAAATATTGAATCTACTGAGGTTGACAGCTTCGAGTGGAGCTGAATATTGTAAACTAGTTGCTGATGTAACACAGAAGTTAAAAATATTGGTGGCTGGGAAATGAGAAAATGGTCAAAGGAGGAACAGAAATAATAGTGACAAGTGAGGATGAGTTTGTCTATTAATACTTCAACATTTACATCAGGTAAACAGGGAAGGGAGGTTTTCCACAGGATGGGGGTAGCAAAGAATGAAGTCATGTTCAAGAAAGAGCTCAATTTTACTTAGGTCAGGGAGGTCAAGGGCAATGGAGGAAACCAGTTTGGGATTTTAAAGTGAAGTTTCCCACATGAAGACCAGGAGATGTGTGAAGAATGTGGACGGTAAGGGGAAGAGTTTGAGGGAAAGAAGAAGGGTGTGGAGAGGTATTGATGGGAAGTCGGTAATAAGAATGAGAAGTCTGTTTATATTGTGTTGGATGTGCATCAATGGACTGTGGAGCCACTGTGCCAAAATGTGGCTACCAGTTACCATCTATTGTTCAGCTTATGGGTAGACGTTACAGAAAACACAAAGAGAGGGGACTTTCTGTTTTCGTTTTCTTCTGTTTTTCAAAAAATGTTCAACTTCAGGGTGGGCAGGGCCAACACATGACATCACAAAGCAGTGTGTGAAAGCCATAGAAACAATCTGAGCCACAGAAACAGTTTGCAGTAGAGGAACTCAGAGAGAGGGCACTGTGCACAGCTGTGCAGAAAGGCCTGATGTAAAGGTAGTTATTAAGCTGCTGGCCATCAAAGGGTGATAGGACTCAGATGGGCAAAAGAAAGTGGGGAAAAGCAATCCAGTGGGGAAAGCAAGATGAACAAGGCTAAAAGGGGAGAACTGGGGAGTGATAAAGCAAGCCCAATGGAAGCATGCTGGGACTGTGTGGGCAGTGGGTAGGACTGCATGGGGGCTGGAGCCAGATCACCAGGCAGAGAAATTTGGACTTTTTTTCCCTGTGGTTAGTGGGAAGCCACTGGAGTTTCT